TAAACATCAAACATTTGCCCTAGCTGATTTGGCTCAGTGGATAGAGCTTCAGCCAGTGGACTGAAGCGTCCTAGGTTAATTCTGATCAGGGGCACATGTCTGGGTTGCAGGCTTGATCCCTACTAGGGGGTTGCAGGAGACAGCCAATAAATAATTCTCATCATTGATGTTTCTCTCTGTTCCTCTCTGGAATCAATTTAAAAAAATTAAAGATTTCACACTGCATAAAGGCCTTGTGAATATTCCATGTGGAAAATAATTTTATCTTCAACTCCAGGTCTTATTGCTCAAGCTACTGTTAATATTGAGGTTCTAGTCACTGTTTTGGGTCCTTTGAAGTTGACCTGTTTGCTAGTATGAAGAGGTGAACAGCATTGGTTGGGATCCTAAACTTTGTGTGCCTCAGAGGGTTTTTAGGCATAGTTCGAACTTCATTAAACATCAAAGATTTGCCCTAGCTGGTTTGGCTCTGTGGATAGAGCTTTTGCCAGTGGACTGAAGTGTCCCAGGTTAATTCTGGTCAGGGGCACATGTCTGGGTTGCAGGCTTGATCCCTACTAGGGGGTTGCAGGAGGCAGCCAATAAATAATTCTCATCATTGATGTTTCTGTTCCTCTCTGGAATCAATTTTAAAAAATTAAAGATTTCACACTGCACAAAGGCCTTGTGAATACTGAATGTGGAAAATAATTTTATCTTCACCTCCAGGTCTTACTGCTCAAGCTACTGTTAATATTGAGGTTCTAGTCACTGTTTGGGGTCCTTTGAAGTTGACCTGTTTGCTAGTATGAAGAGGTGAACAGCATTGGTTGGGATCCTAAACTTTGTGTGCCTCAGAGGGCATAATGTGATGTCAGAATATAAGTCTTCAGTTTTGGCCCAGTTTGCGTTGCTGCTCATAGCCTTTAGGAAAGACAGCGGAGCTTTGTGGACCTAGATTGTAGCTTCGAAGCCATGACTTGGGGTTCTGAGTTCAACCTGAGAAGGGGTCCTTGTGACATCCTTCCTGCTTCTGAGAGCAACATGAACTTGTTCTTGTTCACAGGGTCTCCTGTCATGCTCAGCACTGGTGAGGGACCGTCTGTCCCTGCAGGTCCTGCAGTGGAGCTGTGGGCCCTGAGGTCCTGACTTCTGTAGGTACCATCACTGGTTTTAAGATGACAGGGGCCAGTAGAAGGATCATTGTTGCAGAAACATGGATTCAGAGAGAATGGAGGAGACTGCCACAAGTGGTTAGCATGCTCTATTTTTATTTATTGATTTATTTTTCAAATATGTTTTCTGTTGGTTTTCTTTCAGAGAGGAAGGGAGAAGGAGAGCAACATCAATGTTGAGAATCGTTGATCAGCTGCCTCCTGCATGCCCCCTACTGGGAATGGAGCCCACAATGAAGACATTGTGCCCTGACCAGGAATGCAAATTTCAGTCTCCAGGTTCAAAGGTCAATGCTCAACCACTGACCATGCCAGCTGTGCTGCATGCTTGCTTTTAGTTATTTTCAGTGTGGGCACAGAACAAGTTAAATCAGCTCCGCAAGCGGAAGTATAAGTAAGCCCCACCATCTAGATGGATCTCTGCCAGAGAGAAACAAACAAAACTGATCACCAGAACATGAAATTCACAGTCTGAGAGCAGTCTTTTTTGCTGAGGGAAAGGCCTTGGCATTTGCCCAAGGGTGGCCTCTACCTTTTCCTAGGGGATCATTCAAAGTGCCCAGTAAAATGCCTAGCTGGTGTGGCTCAGTAGTTGAGAGTTGACCTATGAACCAGAAGGTCACAGTTTGATTCCTGGTCAGGAGGGCACATGCCCAGGTTGTAGGCTTGAACTCCAGTAGGGGGTGTGTAGAAGGCAGCCGATAAATAATATTCTCTCATTGTTGAGGTTTCTATCTCCCTCTCCAAAATCAATAAGAATATTTTTTAACTGGAGGCCCAGTGCACGAATTCGTGCATGGGTGGGTTCTGGCTGACTGAGCCCTGACTGGGGCTGGGTCAGCTGGGGGAAGGGACCACAGGTGATTGGCTGGAGGGCCCCACCCCTGATTGGGGTTTAGGGGCCTGTGGGAGGCAGGGTCAGCCATGGGGAGGAGCTGTGGGCAGTAGGTCAGCCGGTCCTGCCCCTGAATGGGGTGTGTGTGGGGGTGCTGATTGGGATCCAGCAGCCTGGGGTAGGGACCATGAGTAGTTGGCCATCTGGCCCTGCTGGTGATGGGGTGGGGTGATGATCAGGGGCGGGGCCATCTGGGGGGATGAGTTGCAGGCCTATCATGATGAGGTGGGTGGAACAGGGGCGGAGCTGGCCAGGGGGAAGGGTGGAGGGGGCGCATTTGGCCAGCTGGCACACCTTTGATGGGAATGGGTGTGTGTGTGTGTGCGTGTGTATATATGGTATCCAGTAAAATACTTCCCCTAGAGTTTACCCTGAATGAACTAGGTAGTGGAGGGGGCGCATTTGGCCAGCTGGCACACCTTTGATGGGAATGGGATAATCTAAACAGGGGTGAGCCAGTGGGGGGAGGGGCTGCAGGAGATTGATGGGCCAGCCCCATGAACCTTTGCTAGAAAAAAAACTACAACCCTTAAATGCAAAGTAGCCCTCTTCTTCACATTGGTAGTACACACCCCAGGATTGCCCACAAAACACCCCCTAGATCACGTTCACATTTCCCGCTCCATTTGGACCACATCCTCACACTCCAGACCTAATAGAGTTACCCCTCTCCCGGGTTCGGTGTTGTCTGTGGGGGCGAGAAGTGACTTTGCGGCAGGGCTGCGAGGCAGAGAAGAGCTAAACCTTGAGGTGTCAGGGACTAGGGCAGAGGGTCTGCACACCACTTTGAGCTGGAGACCAGGCAACAGCAGGTGCTAGGTGGGTCGCTGGGGCCAGAGGCGCTGTGAGCGTCTGTGCAGGAATGGTGCAATTTGCAGCCTTGGGGACACGGGGAAGATGTGGAAGGACAGTGAGGGGATGTTGGGCTGTGGAGAGAGCTGGCTGCCAGGGCACAGGAGGTGCCAGGAGAGCCACGAGGGGAGGTGCATCTGGAGCACATGGCAGGGCCAGGGGACCCACACTGCTGCCAGAGGACACTGGGTGAGGAGGGATCCCCAGGCAGTGGGGACCCCAAAACAGGCTGTTGGGGATTGCAGGGGTCGACGGCAGCAGAACCTGTTACCTGGCGGCCAGAAAACCCAGAGTTGGGAGGCGTGAGGGGTAGGGTCAGCCAGCCAGACCAGAGCGCTTTCCCGGCTCTGTGCCTGGGCATCCATCTACTTGTCACCCGACCCCTTAAGCCAGATACCAAAGCTCTGCCTTCCTTTACCTCGCAACCAAAGCCTCTGTAGGCAGCCCTGCCCCGACCCGCCCAGCTCTCCCCGTCCCTGGGACTCAGTCGTTCTTGAATCATGGCGGGTTGTGTTCCTTTCCAGAGCCTCTGGGGAGATCAGGTTCCTGCTCATTTGGGTTGTTGGCAGAATCTAGTTCCATGGACTTATGGGACGCAGTATCTCTGAGCTGCGAAGTCACAGTCACGTTCTTCATTTCGTGTGAACTCTGAAGAGTTCCTGTTGAACCAGGACTGGCCTTAGCTCCTAGGGTTCCTCTCCAGTCCTAGCACACAGCTGTGTCCTGGCACCAGCACTGGGGCATGAGGCTGATCGTCCTGCCAGAGGGCTGGCTCTTCTGTCTGCATCCTTCTCCCTGCAGCTGGTCCTGGGATTGGGCTGACCCCAACTGAGGTAAATCTTGCTGCCGTGAGCACAGAGTTACTAACACAGGCAAAGTCCCTTCGGCCACAAGTTCTCGGGATTAGGGCATGCACATCTTTGGGAGCAAGTAGTCTGCCTTCTACAGTTTATCCTTTGTCCCCCCAATGCCTGTCTGTTCTGTTTGCAAAATAAACCTATCCCAAGATCCCAAATGGCCCCATTCCAATATGAACTCATCACTCAAATCCCATGATCTCAGAAGTGTGGAACCTGATCATCGAATCTGTCTAGACCAGTTATGGTTCAGATTCTGGGTGTAGTCACCCTGAAGTGCATTATCTCCCCATCTGTGGGTCTGGGATGCTAGAAAACAAAGTAACTGTTCCTGAAATAAAATGGTGGAACAGCCCAGCTGGTGTGGCTAAGTGGTTGAGCATTGACCTATGAACCAGGCGGTCACGGTTGGCTACCTGGTCAGAGCACACCCTCAGGTTGCAGGCTCCATCCCAGTGGGGGGTGTACAGAAAGCAGCCTATCAGCGATTCTCTCTGATCATTGATGTTTTCCCTATCCTTTCCTCTCTGAAATCAATAAAAAAATATTTCTTACGTGTTGGAGCAGCCCTGGCTGGTTTGGCTCAGTGGATAGAGCATTGGCCTACGGACTGAAGGGTCCCAGGTTCAGTTCTGGTCAAGGGCACATGCCCAGGTTGTGGGCTTGATCCCCAGTAGGGGACATGCAGGAGGCAGCCAATCAATGATTCTCATCATTGATGTTTATTGCTTTCTCCCTCTCTGAAGTATAAATATATTTATACTGTCTTCTCAGCCAGTTTCATACGTGTAGACATTGGAGGTCTATACCCTTTGATTTCATACTGTCCCTTTAGATCCAAGGTGTTTCTATGGTTTTCTAAGCAGCTTAGCATTAGTTCTTTACGTTGGTTTTCTTCATTGGATCTAAATTTTGAATAGCCCAATTTTGAGTAAAAAACAGTATTATTTTTTATACGTTACTAGAGGCCGGGTGCACGAAATTCATGCATGGGAGAGTCCCTCAGCCCAGCCTGCACCCTCTCCAATCTGGGACCACTGGCTCCCAACAACTCGCCTGCCTGATCACCCCTAACTGCCTCCGCCTGCCAGCCTGATGTGCCTAACTGCCCCCCTCCCTGTCAGCCTGACCGCCCCTAACTGCCCTAACAAGGTGTCTCCCCAGTGTTAATGTTCAAATATATGAAGTTCAACATCTGATTGATATCTTCCTCTCAAAGGGAGATCACAGAGTCCCTGTCCATGTGAGTCCTTCTGTGTCGAAAGCACTCCTACAGCCTTCCTGCAGTGTGAACTTTCTGATGCCGGATGAGGTGGGAGCTTAAGCTATAGGCTTTCCCGCATTCATTGCACTCATATGGCCTTTCTCCAGTGTGAACTCTTTGGTGCCGAACAAGGTGGGAGGTTCTTATGAAATCTTTCCCGCATTTGCTACACACAAAAGGCCTTTCACCCGTGTGAACTCTCTGGTGTGCAATAAAGTCAGAGCTCCGACTAAAGAATTTCCCACATTCAGCGCACTCAAAAGGCCTCGTCTCGGTGTGAATTCTCTGGTGTTTAATGAGGGTGTATTTGTGGCCAAAGGACTTCCCACAGTCACTGCAAACATAAGGATTTTCTCCAGTATGGATGCTCTCGTGCTGAACAAGTGTGGATTTGTGTCTGAAAACCTTCCCACAGTCATTGCACCTATAAGGCCTTTCTCCATTGTGAACTCTCTGGTGTACAATTAAATTGGAGTGATGGCTAAAGTATTTTCCACATTCACCACACTTATAAGGCATTTCTCCAGTGTGAATTCTTTTGTGCTGTGTTAGGTTGTCTTTGCGGCTAAAGGACTTCCCACATTCACTGCACTCGTAAGGCCTCTCCCCAGTGTGGATTCTCTGGTGCTGCACGAGCGTGGCTTTGCGGCTGAAGGCCTTCCCACACTCGCCGCACTCGTAAGGCCTTTCCCCAGAGTGGATTTTCTGGTGCTGAACAAGCGTGTCTTTGCGGCTGAAGGCCTTGCCACAGTCGTTGCAATTGTAATGCATCTGTCCGATGTGCAGGGCCGCCCCACTCTCAGTGCTCGTCTTCCTCTTGCGGGGGGTGGCCTTTGGCTGGTGACTGTCCCCGCGTGCCTGGAAGTCCTTCCAATCCCCCTCACACACGGAGGGCTTCTCTGATGGATGAGGTCCTTCACAGACTCTACAGTCCTGTGCAGGTGTGGCCTTGCCTTTGTCTCTCCTGACGGGCTTCTCTACATTGTCCTGCTTCCGGTGCCGGTAAAAGTTCGCACCAAATGAGAATTGTCTCCCACATGCCTCACATGTGTATGGCTTCAGTCCATAATGTGTTTCCTGGTGGTCATCCAGATGCAAAATGTCTTTCAAGATGGGGCCGCATCTGTCACAAGGCTGAGCCATCTGGGCCGAGGAACGTCCCCTGACAGGACGCACAGGCGACACTTCCACAGAAATGCTCTGCTCAGAAGATGCCTCTTCATCCTTCACCCCAAGGCAACACCCTGAAGCCAGAAAAATGCCGCTAAAGCCACTCACTGCTGAGAGGGGACAACCGATGGCCAACGTGTGTCTAGCGCACCCATGGCTGAGTCCATGTTACAGGAAGGGCTGATGTGCATGATTGGCCCTAAGGGTCGCAGGAAGGGGAAGGCCTGAGGAAGGACAAAGGCACAAGGCTGAGGTGTAGCCTGGGGACAAGCAGGCAGGACTGCCAGCTTTCTCCTTGCAAATGACTTTTAAGAAGGCCTTGGCTGTTGGGAAAAGGTGAGTGCTACATGGGAATGTACGCCCAGGCCCATGAAAAGCTGACTTAGAATGAATAACTGGTATTGAAGAGCTATTGAAGGTTATGTGTATGTCTCCGATATTTTAGCATCATCCAGTATGGGAGATCACTGCAGAGGGAGCAGAAGAGGGCACTGGTGATGGGGGTGGACAGCCCTGGGTCAGAGGTCAGAATAGAAAGTGCTTAGAATGAGGGAGAAAATAGCCTGGGCACCAAACAGTAGTGGGCACAGGACGGGTTCCTGGTGTTACTTGAACCGAACCCCAAAGTCACCCCCAAAGCTCTCACTTACCAGGGCCCGGCCAAGCCGCTCCTGCTGTGGCTAGAGCCATTGCCTCTCAGTAAAGTGCTTTCTCCTGTTACAGTTCAGCAGCCACGGCGGATCTGGAAGGTACAAGTCACAGAAGGGAGAGGGCCAGTGAGTGGGAAAGCACTGCCCCACCCATAACAGCCTCAGGTCTTGCAGAGACATCCACTGGCTCCCGCAGCCGGGACCGTGACCGTAACTCATAACACAGGTCGGTCCAAGGAAATAGCAATTGAAGACGGGGGCAGAGTGACAGACTGAAGGGCCCCGGGTTCGATTCCGGTCAAGGGCATGTGCCTTGTTTGCAGGCTCAATCCACGGCCCCGTCAGGACACATGCAGGAGGCAACCCACTGATGTGTCTCTCATCACGTTTCTCCGTCTCTCCCGTTCCCTTCCACTCTCTCAAAATCAGTGGAGGGGAGCCTCCACGCCGGCCTTGTGCTGCAGAGCGGGAGGAGGCGGGGTCTCCCTCGGCCTCTCGCCTGCCCTTCCTTCCAGCTTCTCTGGCTCCGAAGTTGGCGGCTCACAGAAATGGCAGAAGCCAGGGCCCGGGCGGGTGGCCGCAGCACCGGGGTCCCTTCTGAGTTGGCCGCCGGGACACG